TCGTTATCGCAGAATTCAGGAAGTGACTTTCTATCGTTAAGAGTCGCCACTGCTAGTTTCTGCTGCTCAATAATATGTACCGAGGATCGCCCCTGAGGCCGCTGACTGATGATGAGATCGCGGCAGTAGTCGAGCCGCGGATACTCTATCACTCGTCAAACAGCCACGAGGAGCACTCAACACCTCAACATGGATAGTAAACGAGTTCACGTCAGGGAAACGGCACAAATCGACACGTAACAGCCGAGCATAGCTAAATCTGTAAAATCGATCACACGATCGCACATCGAACGCACAGCGCAACTTGTTGGGGACAATCGACACAAGAGTTGAGGTGTACAAAGCCACCCAGGAACATTGTACCATACATCGTGTCGGGACTGTAATAACACCGAAAATCTAACAGGCAGATACATAATCAGTCGCAATCATGATAGCTCAATTTGGCAGCCATCTACGACATCAATTGGACGTCTCTCGAATCGTCGACGATCAAAGGTTGATGGCCGAGGTTCGCCCATCATTATCGGGGATGGAAATTGCGCAGAAGTTGAATCAGGCCAATCGACATATTGCATTCGGCCAGAATAACAGTGATGATTTCGGCGCTTATGGGGCTGAGATGCTGTACAACAGCCTCAAATCCACTCGCTTCTCGCCTGCCTTGGACTGCCGTTTTGTACAGAGCTAGGTGAGCGAGTCTTGCATTGACGCTGGGAGAGCACCTGGACGAATTCTGTGAGTGTCATACTGAGGCACCTCGCGGAGTGTGAAACTCCTACGCCCGGGGTCCTCAGCCTTGTACCATGACTTGCATAACACAACGAACCAAGTATGTTAACATATAATAAATAGTACTCAATGTTGGAACAAAATTTTATAATCATCATATCTTCGATCTTCGAAGGATGATGGTCGAGATCCGACCAATGGTCAGTGACCATCATCCTTCGGATTGTACCTAAACAGGGATATCAAGTAAAACAAAATCGTCACCGAGCGCATCCAAAACTGCTTCCTCTTCGGCCTTCTCCACCTTCCAAATGTTCATGTCCCCCTTCTCATCTTGGACCGCCAGCGTCAGAGTACACACCTGAGGAGGAAGAGCAGTCATATCAGGTTCATTCTTCTCTTGCGAGAAGTGAACCGATCCATCAAAATCAGAATAAAGCGCCCATCTCCCATCAACCATACCTTGAGATTGGATGGCTAGTCCAGACTTACCTTTCCCACTTGCTCGCCTGGGCTCCTTGCCACCATGCTTTTGGCACAGCTGCAAGGGGCCTGGGCGGGCAGCGGTGGTACAGCCGTCCACGGTGCATCTTCTCCCTCCGCCGTGAGCTTTGCAGCGTTCGCTGCTGCCCACAGCACTCTTCGTGCACTCCAGCACTTCGCACCGACGGCCACCTCCGTGACTGATGCAGTACGGAGTCCCGTCCCGAGCCTAAGAGAAACAACCATCATTTGAAGAAAGAAACAAACAAAGAAGCTATGGAGTAGCCCGGAAACCTGCTCACCTGCTTGAGGCACCCTTCATGGGCACACA